AGATTCGTTTAAAATTAGCACAAACAGTCGAGAATAGGGGTGATTCCGGATTACGCAAAGCGAAATCGGAATGGTTGGCTCTCGACCCTGCATTTTCTGACGTCACCGGAAGCAATCATTGCATGTTGCCCGATTTCGACGCGAATTTCTGTTTCGCCCGAAGTCTTCTTGAAAATTTTTAAATGCTAGATCAGCTGTACTGTTGGCGTCGGTGACGACCGCTGCGCATGACAAAAATACAAAATTTTGAAATTTGGAAAGGGTAATCCCAAACATGAGAAGGGTCATTTTACGATAACAAATTCCTAAGCTGCGCAAAGTGTACACACCTGCCCAATAACATGGCATGCACCTGAATACAGTTACTAGACTAAGTTGCATGCACCTGAAAATGGCCGAGCTGTTTTTCGCTAGCTCAAATATTCTCGAACGTTCACATTTCGTGAAAACCATACACGTAGCACATGCAATCAGAAACTCCAATCTGATTGGTTCATTCTCTGATTCGCTCTACAGTACAATGATCAGATTTGTCACTGCACATTTTGGGCCGCCCGCTACGGGACTGTAGAGGAGGGGCCACACCTGGGAATTAAAGGAAAAATCTCCTCATTTTGAAAATGACAATTTGTTAGGGCGGGCCTTTATAGCGGAACCATTTGTACATAATGGTTTGACACTCGGGCTGACAGCTTCTCAGTCTCAGCATTTCAAAACACGACCTAGTCGGAATGTCGGGCTTCTTCCACACACAACACAATCACCAGCAGCTGCTGCCTGTAGCTGTAGCTGTCTCGCGGACACGCTTAGGAGAACGGCGTACACTTCAGTGTCGAAATCCCTAAGCTTCAACATGCGAACGTCTAAGCTGCTTGCTTAGCATGTAGGACATTTAGTGAAAAAAAAAAAAAAAAAAAAATTCATCTGCACCAAAGTACTTGCTTTCTGATACCGTATCACATTAAAGAGGAATAACAAAACGCAGAACCTAGTCTGCAACAAGTCTATAAAATGCGGCGATGAGAATAAACGCAAGCAATACACATACACAGCCGTAGCTGGCAGCATTACCAAACAACTTATGCAAATGCAAGTTACAAATAATTTAACACCCTCCATTGCCCAGCTTCACACACTTGTAACCTTCGCAGCTGGTAACATAAGGCATGCACACCTCAGCATTCGCGCATGGCTGCTTTAGCCAGCACAGCCCATTCATCCCATTACAATCACACAGCCAGAGACAGGAGGAGCGTTGCCTGGCGGTGCCTGAGGGTGCAGTCACTAGTTGGCAGGGAGGCCACATCTGGGGGAGGCGGGTGAGGTGACGCCCATTAACGCCCTCCACTCCATTAGCCGGCTTCACGTACTTGTAACCCTCGCAGCTGCTAAGAAACGGTACGCACACCCTGTCACTCGCACATGGCCGCTTCAGCCGGCAAAACCCATTCACCCCTTTACTGTCACACAGCCAGGGGCAGGGGTGGCGCATGGGGGTGCAGTGCAGTCAGGAGGTGGGGGGGTGGCGCCCAATAAACGCACTTCATTTACCAGTTTCATGCACTTGTAACCCTCGCAGCTGACTACAAACGGTACGCACACCTCGTCATTAGCACATGGCCGCTTCAGCAATGGGCAGGGGCGGCGCCTGGGGGTGCAGTCAGGAGGTGGGGACGATGAAGTGGCGGGGCCGGGAGGGGGGGACGGGGAGGCTGTATCTGGAGGTGGAGGGGAGGCCACATCTGGAAGAATTGGGGGAGATGAAGTGGCAGGCGCAGGAGGGGGGGACGGGGAGGCTGTATCTAGAGGTGGAGGGAAGGTCACACCTGGGGGAGGTGGGGGCGATGATGCGGGCGCAGGAATTGGGGGTGGGGAGGCTCTATCTGGAGGTGGGGGAAAGGCTGATACCCCCGGAGGAGGCGGTGGGGAGCGTTTTACACCCGGGGGAGGTGGGGGGGAGCGATTTGTACGGGGGGGAGGCGGAGGCGGGGGGGAGCGCTTAGCACCAGGGGGAGGCGGTGGGGAGCGTTTGACACCGGGAGGAGGCGGGGGAGAGCGATTTACACGTGGAGGAGGTGGTGGGGGGCGGTTTATACGCGGAGGAGGTGGGGGGGGGCGTTTTATACCCGGGAGGGGGGGTGGAGAGGCTGGGGGAGGCAGCGGGGAGGCTGTATCTGGTGCAGGTTGTGCCACCACTGCTGCCACAACAGCAACACGTGGAGATGGTTGGGGGTAGAACAGGGAGGTTTAGGACAGCGGTCACAAATAGTTTTGCAGACAAGCTTCGGCAGGCCATTTTGGGGCACGTTTTTAACACACAATGACATTGATGGCAAATCTGTTAGAAGGACGAGAAGAAGAGAGATTGCAAACAGTTCTGCCAACAAATTTCGGGGCGCTCTACTACACGTCTCTAACACACAATGGGATTGACGGCGAACCTGTTGGAAAGACGAGCATGGCGACGAGGAACGTTGGTATTGAAATCCCAAGGCTTCTGGAGATTCTTAGGCGAGAGGGTACCATAAATGGAGATTGGAGATTCCAAGGCGTCGGTTCTCTGGGTGCTGCCGGTGATTTAGTGATTAGGAGATTCCAAGGAAAGAGGGTATGGAGTAGACTTTTGATTTGAGAAGCCTCAAATCAAACCTTCGTTCACGAGAGAGGGTACGGAGTCGACTTTTGAGGTGCCGCAAAAGGAGTCTAGTAGACTCGAGAAACGGCAGTGGGTGACCCACAGTGACAAGCGATGGTGTTTTGAGGTGACTGAAAGATGAGCACCTGTGGTGTAAGCAGCTTGTGGGCGATGCTGTGAGCAACGACACTATAATACTACTACCTACCACCTTACGGTAAGGCCGTGAAGATACTCTCGCGGAAAGGCAGACCGGGTCTGGCATAACGACAGGCTCAAAAGAAGCGACAGGGTGAAAAGGGGATCCCATTTGAGGGGGTCTGTCGTCCCCTCGATCACGGAAGGTCTCGTCGAGGGGACGGCACGACAACCTTTTGAGGCGCCTCAAAACAAGACGGTCTCATCTCGGGGATGGCGGTCGATTTGTGACGGTCGCATCGTGTCCGAGTGGCGAGGCGACCAGCTGGTGTTGCGTATCGCTGCAGGGATTTGATTTTTGAGTCGACTCAAAAATTTGTGACGGTCGTATCGTGTCCGAGTGGCGAGGCGACTAGCCGGTGTTGCGTATCGCTGCAGGGATTTTCTTGAAAATTCTCAGAACTATCCTGCACGGTTGATTTGTGACGGTCGTATTGTGTCCGAGCAGCGAGGCGACTAGCCGGTGTCGCGTACTGAAGCGGGTAAGAACCGATGAATTCGGAGACGTCTCAAAAAGCCTGTGTTGCTTATCGACGCCGCAGGTAAGAACCGCTGGCTTGGCTTGTCGACGATGGATGGACAGGTGGGCTGCAGACGCGTTACTGCTGTGAGTATTGAGGCGGGTAATTACTGCTGGCTAGAGCTGACGTGGCGTGGGCCCCAGCGGGACAGCATTAGTGTACTGTACATGTTGATTTCGTAATGAACAGCAGTAAAAAAAATACCGTAGTACCGTTAGGTACCGCCGGGTGCCGTACAATAGAGTTGTCGAACCGATTCGTGCTACCCGCGTGCACGTGCGCCTGGGAAAGTAACCGATACCACTCGACTATGACAATAACCATGGCTTTTTCTATCTTCCCAGGGGGATGGCACCTTACTGAGCCACTGGCGGCGCGTACCGGCGGATATCACAGATAGCACCGTCCCGTCGCATGATGGGAAGTAACGGTAGCGTCTGCAGTCGGATCGGATTGACAATGCTACGGCGGTATACCTAATAGATCCGCCATTCGTGCTGTTTCCGCACCACTCCGCTACCACATTTTCGCTGAAGCCAGCATTTAGTTCGGTCGGTGGTATCGACCCCGTTTATCGCCAATCGCGATAGATGCAAGCAATGCAGCGAGAATGACTCGAATTTCACCCACCACTCTAGCGGATAGTAGCTAATAGTCGGCGGTCTGCCATTAACGGTACTACGGTATTTTGAATGACAGGTGGAAAGACGGAGATACATGTTCTATGAATCTGTGCTATTGGTCAACTGAAAGAGATCAGTACTCGCCACAAGAATTTTAAAGCTAACAGATATAGGGTTCAAGGTTCAAATGAAAGAAAATTACATAGCAACACCAACATTATTGTGCAATCACTAGTCAACACTACTCAAATTACTAAGGCTTTTATGTTATTATTAATTGTGTTGATTCAGCACTCAAGAAGCGCCCTTCGACCTATGCATAAGCTCCAGGTTAGCGTCAAACAAGGCTTGGGAAATCAGCCGCTGCTCCCGAGCCATCCTTTCACGTTCGGACCGAAGCTGCTGCTCCGCCACCTTCATGTGTTTCTCCTTGTCCATAAGCTGCAGAGAGCAAGGAAGATGAGAGGGAACTTCTTAGTTGCTGATGAATTCACAGGACGAATGTGAGCAGAAAGCATTGAGTTGTGTGTGATGTATATGCAGAAGCATTTGAAGTGGAGTGGCGGAAGACAGTGGAGCGAAAGAGCAGCTATCAAAAGCGAGGGAGCGGGAAGGAGAGGGTGTAGCGGGAGGGGTGGAAGGGGTTGACATTGGTGAAAATACAAGAAAGGCAGCAGAGTGTGCGGGGAAAACCAGGAATATGTACTAGAACAGTGGTAGGTTCATTGCTCACCTGATTCTCCAGAGCATGAAGCTGCTTCTGGCTCTCCTGCAGCTGCTCTCTCTCCCTCTGAATCCTCTTCTCCATCTCCTGCTGCCTCTGTTCCAGCCCATCCACCTGAAAGAACAAGAAGGACAGAGCACGGCGCACAGTACACACATTGCCTCGGAACTCATTTCACAAGTCTCCGCAGCTCTATCCACTGCTGCCTCTGTTTCAGGCCATCCACCTGAAAGAACAAGGAGAATGGAGTAGAGCGCACAGCAAGACAAAATTTGCGGCGTTGAGCTGGTGCCTCAAACTCACTCCACACGCCTCTGATCATCCCTTGCTCTCACCTTCTGCTTGAGAGTCTTATTCTCCTCCTGCACTGCTGCTTGGATCTTGGCAATCTTCCTCTCCATCCTCTCCTCCCTCCTTGCCTCCCTCTCCCCATACTCCTGCTTCACCCTCCTCTTCTCCGCCTCCACGGCAACCACCACCTCCTCCTCCCGCCTCCTCATCTCCCTCTCCCTCTCCCTCACCTCCTCTCCCATCCTCCTCACACCCTCATTCAACCTCCTCACTTCCTCTCCCCTCCTCTCTATCTCACCCTCACACTCCTGCACTGCCTTCCTCCTCTCCTCCTCCACCTCCACCACCCTCCCCTCTAACTCCCTCACTCTCTCTCCCAGCTGCTCCTTCTCCCTCACAACCCCCTCCCTCTGCTCCTCTAACTGCCCCTTCACCTCCAGAAGCTCATTGACTTGTTCAGTCAGGGCAACAACACGCTCTCTCTCCTCCCTCATCTGCCCTTCTAGTCCCTCCACCAGCCCATTCAGCCTCCCAACTTGCCCGTCCCTATCCGCTACCTCTCCCCTCAGCCTCCCCTCCAGCTCCTTCCACGCGGCTTCCTTCTCCCCCATCTCCACATCCCATCTCTTCTCCACCCGTGCCCACACCTCCTGCTGGCCTCTCATCTCCTCCTCCTTCCTCTCCAGTCGCTGCTGCATCTCCTGCTGCTCCTGCTGCGCCTGCTGCAGCCTTGCTTCAAACCTCTCCTTCTCTCCTTTCATCTCTTGCAGGGTACTTTCCAGCTCCACCTGTCGCACTTGCAGCTGCAGCAAGGACGCCTCTAGCTCTGATCGCTCCACCTTCATCGCACTCATCTCCTCCTCTCCTGCCTTCCTCTCCTGCTCCATTTCCTCCAGTGTCCCTTCCAACCTCCTCACAACACCCTCCTTCTCTTTCAATGCATGCTTCAGCTGCTGCACCGTGCTCCTACTCTCCTCCACCAATGCCTCAAGCTCGCAGTTAATGCCCTCCCTCTCCTCCAATGTCTGCTCTAGCTGCTGCACAGTCCCCTCCAACCTCTTCACATCACCCTCTCTCTCCCCCAGCATCTCCTTCAGCTGCTGCACGGTGCTCCTACTCTCCTCCACCAACGCCTCAAGCTCGCAGTTAGCGCCCGCCAATGACTGCTCCAGCTGCTGCACAGTCCCCTCCAGCCCCCTCACAGCGCCCTCCCTCTCCTCCAGGGCATTCTCTAGCTGCTGCACGGTGCTCCTACTCTCGCTCAGTGAGGCCTTGAGCTCGCAGTTGACACCCTCTCTCTCCTCCAGTGTGTTCTCTAGCTGCTCCACAGTGCTCCTACTCTCGCTCAGGGACGCCTTGAGCTCGCAGTTAGCACTCTCAACCAACTCCTTCTCCCTTGTCAAACATCTCACCAATTCCTCCAAACCGGCCTTCTCTCCTTCCAAAGCTGCCCTCCTCTCCTCCACAGCAGCATTCTCTCCCTCCAAAAAAGCCTTACTCTCCTCCAGAGCACGAGCCTTCTCTTGCAGCACTGCCCTTTCCGCCTCCACACCCGCCTTCTGCTCCTGCAGTGCTCCAAACGCTTCCTGTAAGGAATCATATTGACGCTGCAGCCGTCCAAGTGTCTCCCCCAAGTCTGCTCTCCTCTCCTCCACAGCACGAGCCTTCTCTTGCAGCTCTGCCCTCTCCGCTTCCACACCCTCCTTCTTCTCCTGGAGTGCACCAAACTGTTCCTGTAAGGAATCATATTGGCCTTGCAGCCGTCTCACTGTATCCTCTAGTATTCCCTTCTCTGCCTGCAAGCACCCAATCTGCTCCTCCAGGCGAATCCCCACAGCTTCCAGCTCTTCTTGCTTCACCTTCAGTCCATCCCTCTCAGCCGCCACTGCTTCCTTCTCCTCCATCAGATCCTCCTTTTCGCCCATCAGCACCCCCTTCTCTGCCTGCAAACACCCAATCTGTTCCACTAGACGAATTCCCTCAGCTTCAAGCTCCCTGTTCTTCACCATCAGCCCATCCCTCTCAGCTTCCATTGCTGCCTTCTCCTCCACCAACTCCTCCCTCTCGACCATTCGCACATCCTTCTCTCTGTTCAAATCCTCGATCTGCTCTATCAGCCGAATCCTCTCACCTTCAAGCTCCCTCTGCTTCACCCTCAGCCCATCCCTCTCAGCTTCCACTGCTGCCTTCTCCTCCACCAACTCCTCCTTTTCGCCCATCATCACCCCATTCTCTGCTTGCAAGCACCCAATCTGCTCCACGAGAACCGCCCTCTCACCTTCAAGCTCCGCTTGCTTCACTGCCAGTCCATCCTTCCTAGCCTCCAGCTCCCGTATCTGTACCTTCAGCCCATCTCTCTCAGCTTCCACCGCTGCCTTCTCCTCCATCACCTCCTCCCTTTCACCCATCAGCACCCCTTTATCTGCCTGGAGAGACCCAATCTGCTCCACAAGACCCGCCCTCTCAACCTCCAGCTCCCCTATCTGCACATTCAGCCCATCCCTCTCAGCTTCCACTGCTGCCTTCCCTTCCAACAACTCCTCCTTTTCAACCACCAACGCCTCCTTTTCTCCCCTCAAACCTGCAACCTGCTCCACCAGACCAGCATTCTCACCTTCCAGCTCCCTGTGCTGCACAATCAACGCCTCCTTCTCAACCATCAACGCCTCCTTTTCACCCATGAACGCCTCCTTCTCTCCGTTCAAACCTCCTATCTGATCCACCAGTCGAGCCCTCTCAGCTTCCAGCTCTACCACCTTTGATATTAGCTCCTCTCCCTCCCCTGTCAAGGCAGCCACCCTCTCCTCCAACCTCCCCCTTTCCTGCTGAAGCACCTCCCGCTCCTCAAGTAACCCGTCCCGCTCACCTTCCAGCTCCCCTACCCTCACCATAAGTTCCTCTCCCTCCCCTGTCAAGGCAGCCACCCTTTCCTCCAACCTCCCCCTCTCCTGCCTCCTGGACTCTACTTCTCTCTCAGCCCTTTCTACCCTCTCCTCCAACTCACCCTTCTCCTGCTGAAGCACATTCCGCGCCTCAAGTATTCCGTCCCTCTCCTTCTCCAGCCCAACCTTATCACCCAGAAGTCCCTCCCTCTCAGCCAGCAAACTCTCCCTCTCAGCCTCCAACCTCTCCCTCTCTTCCTCTAACCCCTTCTTAGCAGCATCTAGGGCCTCATTCTCAGACTTCACCTGCTCCATTTCTGTCTTCATCTCAGCCGCACCAGCCAGCAGCACCACCCGGTCCTCCTCCAAAGCCCCCTTCGCTGCAGCCAAAGCTGCTCCTTCCGCTCTCAGCTTGCCGATTTCCCTCTCCAACTCTCCCATACCCGCGTGCAGCTGCTCTCTCTCAAACTTAACCTGGCCGATTTCTTTCTCCAACTCCCCAATTCCCTCCTGCAGCTGCTCCCTATCCGCTTCAAGTTGCCCCACCTTCGACTGCACCTGCTCCAGTGCTCCCTCCAGCTCCTTCCCAGCCGCATCTAGGGCCTCGTTCTCAGACTTCACCTGGTCGATTTCCCTCTCCAACTCATCCATACCCGCCTGCAGCTGCTCCCTCTCGGCTTCAAGTTCAACTGTCTTTGTCTGCGCCTGTCCCAGTGCTTGCTGCAGCTGCTCCCTCTCTGTGTCAACCACTTCCTTCTCCGACAGAGCATGTGCCAACTCGCCCTTCAGTTGCTCCCTCTCCGCTTCAACCTCTCCCTTCTCCGAAAGCACCTGTCCCAATGCTGCCTGCAGTTGCTCCCTCTCTGCTTCAACCTCTCCCTTCTCCGATAGAGCCTGTGCCAACTCGCCCTTCAAACGCTCCCTTTCCCCTAGCAGCTCCCCGCTTTCCCTATCCGCCTCCCTCTTCTCCTCCTCCAGCGCATTCCGTACCTCTTCCAGCCCACGCACAGCTTCCCTGAGCTCACACACTTCATTCGTCAGCTCCTCATTCCGTCTCCCCGCCTCCCTCTTCTCCACCTCCAGCCCGTCTCTTACCTTCTCCAACCTGCTCACTGTCTCCTGTAAAGCACGCACTTCATTTATCAGCTCCCCATTCCGCCTCTCCACCTCCCCCTTCTCCCCTTCCAACCTCGCATTCTCCCCCACAAGCCCGTCCCTCTCCTCCTTCAACCCCTCACACTCCCCCTCCGCCCTCCGCCTCTCCTCCTCTGCCCTCGCCTTCTCCCCCTCCAACCGCGCCACCAGGGCCCGCAGCTCCGCCCTCTCCCCCTTCAGCTCCGCACACTGCGCCTCAGCTTCCGCCTTCCCACACTCCGCCTCCCCCTTCTCCCGCTCCAACCTCTCCACAGCACCCTTCAACTGCGCATTCACCCCCACAAGCCTCTCTCTCTCCCCCACCAATCTCCCCCTCTCCCTTTCCATCCCCTCCCTCTCCGCCTCCCACTCCGCCTCCCTTTCCGCCCTCTCCGCCTCTACAGCCCCCTTCTCCCCTTCCAGCCGTGCCACTGCTGCTTTCAGCTGCCCGTTGGCTGTTCTAAGCTGCCCGACGCTCGCTTCCAGCTGCACATTGCCTCCCATCAGCTGCCCGTTCGCCTGCTCTAGCTCCACATTCAATTCCCTCAGTTTCCTTACTGTCTCTTCCAATGCCACCTTCTGCCCCTGTAGCTGGGATACTGATGCTCTCAGCTGTGCGTTTGACTCCTCCAAACCCCTCACTTTCTCCTCCAAACCCCTCACCTCCTCCAAAATCCTCCCATTCTCTTCCAAACCCCTCACTTTCTCCTCCAGACCCGCCCGTTCCTTCACCCACACCTCCCTCTCCCTCCCGAACTCCCTCCTCACGCCCTCCAGCTCCCGTTTCAACCCATCCCTCTCTCCCAGAACCGCACTCAACCGCGCATTCACCGCATCCAGCTTCCCACGCGCCTCAGTCCAGTCTCTCACCACCCTCTGGTGCCTTGCCGCTGCTTCCTGAACCAATCCGTCCATCTCCTTCCTAAGACCCTCCTCTCTCTTCTCTGCTGCTTCTGCCCGAGCCAACCAGGCGTGCCCCTGTACCTCCGCCTCTTCCCTTGCTGCCTTTGCTGCTGATAAATCTCCTGCAGCCGACTCCTGCTGCTGCTGCTGCACCAGCAGCAGCTGCTGTTCCTTCTGCGCCCATTCTTCCTGCTTGGATTGCACCTCACGCTGCATATCCGATCTCTCTTCTTCCATGCGTGTAATACTCCCTTCGAGTTCTGTCACCCTCCCCTCAAGCATTACCCTCTTCGCCTCCCATGCTGCTTCTTTCTCCTCCCATGCCGCTTCCTTCTCAGCCCATCTCTGCTCCGTCACCACCAGCTCCTGGTCCCTCTCTGCCAGGTCATTCCTCACTGCTGCCAGCTCACCGTTAGCCCTGTTCACGTCAGCCAGAGCTGCTGCCAGATTCTGCTGCAGAGCTGCCAACTGTTCATCCATCACCCCGGCCTTCTCCACCCACTGCTGCTCCTTTTCTCTCATATCTCCCTTCACCGAACACAACTCCTCCTCGGCTGAAGCAAGGACTTCACCCAGAACGCCCACCCTGCATGCCCAAGCCTGCTCCTTCTCCTGCCAGCATGCAATCGCCTGCTCCTTCGCTGCCAGTTCTCCCTTCACCGCACACAGCTCTGCCTCCACTGCAGCAAGAGCCTCACCAAGACAGCCCTCCCTGCACGCCCAAGCCTGCTCCTTCGCTGCCAGGTCTTCCCTCACCACGCACAGCTCTTGCTCCGCTGCTGCTATCATCTGCTGCTTCTCTGCCAGTTCTCCCCTCACCGCGCACAAGTCCTCCTCTGCTACAGCAAGAGCCTCACCCAGGATACCCTCCCTGCACGCCCAAGCGTGCTCCTTCGCCAGCCACTCCCCTTCCTTACCATCCCACTCCCTTCTCTGCTGCAAACTCTCCTGCTGTACCGTTTCTAACACCCTCTGAATCTCCCTCATCTTCTCCTCCTGCATCACCTGCTTCTTCTTCCATTCCTCTTCCTTCTCTCCCCACTCTTCCCGCTCCCCCACCCGCTCCTTCTCCAACAAATCAAAGGCTGTGATCAGCTTCTGCTTCTCGCGCTCCAGAAGATCAACGGCCCTCGTCAGCTCCTCCCTTTCTTGCGTCGCTTCTCCCAGCTCCTCCTCAACAGCAGCCTTCTCTGCCTTAACACACTCCAATGCAGTCTCCATCTCTCCCAGCCGCACCCTCTGCTGCTGCCCCAGAACCTCCCACTCCTGCTCCCTCGCCCTCCACTCATTCCCCTTAGCCGCCCACTCCTGCTGCTCCCCTGCGTAGGCACGCTTCACAACAGCCAACTCTTCAGTCAAAAGCGCAGCCTGAGCGGACAGCTCCTCCCCCTCGGCAGCAAGACTGCTTTTCTCTTCCGCCCATTGAATCTGTTCCTCCTCATACGTCTGTTTCACAGAAGTCAAATCTGCAGTCAGGAGCCTAATCTGAGCAGACACCTCCTCTCCCTTGCCGAACAGCTCCCTCCTCTCTTCCTCCCACTGCTCCTCCTTCTGCCCCCACTGCTCTACCAGAGAGGCAACTCGTCCCTGCTCCTGCCTCTCCTTCTCCGCCCACGCCTGCTGCTCGGCCGCTCGCGCTTCCCGCAGCCCAGCAATCTCCTCATCCAAGCACCTCACACGAGCTGCCATCTGCGCCTCACAGCCCGCCCACTGCTGTTCCTTCTGCGTCCACTCCTCTAGCTCAGATGCCCACCTGCACTCCTTCTCCGCCCACGCCTGCTGCTCCGCTGCTTGTGCCACTTTCAGCCCTGTAATCTCCTCATCCAAGCACCCCATCTGAGCTGCCATCTGCGCCTCACAGGCCACCCACTGCTGCTCCTTCTGCTCCCACGCCTGGATCGCCTGCTGCGCTGCCTGCTGCTCCTCCTCAGCCTTCTTCCGCTCCTCCTCCGCCTGCTTTTTTACCTCTTCAAGTTCCTGCTCCAGCCGCTGTCCCTCGTCTCGCAGAGCAACCACCACCCCTTCCAATCTCCTCCTCTCCTGCTCCAGTTCCTCCCTCTCCATCTCCACCTCCTCCCTCTCCTGCTCCGCCTCTGTCTTAGCCTGCAGCAGCTCCAACTTCTCTTGCTCTACCCCTGACAGGCTCGTCTCAAGCCATGCCACGTGTTCTTTCTGTTCATCCGCTTCCTTCGCCCACTCCCGCTCCTTTTCTGCCCAAATCAGCTGCTCCTTGATCCACGTCAGCTTTTCTTCATCCCACTCCTTCTCTTTGCCCACCCACTCCTCCTCCCTCGCCCTCTTCTCCTCCGCCCACTCCCGCTCAGCCTCACTCCGCGCAAAGCCACAACCAGCCAGGTCCAACCGCACTGAAACGAGCTGCACCGCTGCCTCTTGCGCCTCTCCGTTCCAAGCCTCCTGCTGCTTCTCCCAGGCCCTCTCCATCTTCTCACACTCCCTAATCTTAACGTTCAGCTCGCGTGTAGCTTCTTCCAGCTTGCGCTCCTTGCGCTCCAGCTCCGTTTTAACCACAGCGAGTTCTGCTTGTAGCGAGGATAGCCACTGCTTGGAGAGCTTCTCTGACTCTGCCATGCTCCTCTCCAGGCGGGAGACCTCCGCCCTGAAACGCAAATCAATACAGGAAGCATGATTAGAGGCAGGATTGAGAATTCTCGAAAGTCTCTCCTGCCAGGAGACCTCTGCCTTGCAACGAGTTAGCACAGGAAGCACGAAGAGAGGCAGGCTTGCATCGTCCTGTCAGAACTCAGTCAGCAGTCAGTCACATAGTCGGTTGTCAGACTGCTCTCAGTCAGAGGCCAGTCAGTTTTTCAGAATTTCTCAGTCATTTTTCAGTCAGAGCTCCTGTGACCTCTCAAAGCACACACAGTCAGCTTCCCATCTCCTCACCTGGTAGACGAGAGGTCCGTGGCGAGCAGGGCTTTCTCCTTCTCCCCTTTCATCCACCTTTTGCACCTTTTCAAGGCACATACCAGGCACCCCTCGAAACACGTATCAAGCACCCCTCGAAACACATTCTAAGCGCTCATCTCCCCAACCCCTCACCTGGTGGACGAGAGGTCCGCGGCGAGCAGCACCTTGTCCTTCTCCCCTTCCATCCGGGCTCCCTCTGCTGCCATCAGCTGAGCCGCCCGCTGCTCCCTCTCCGCCAGCAGAGCTTCCGCCTGGGGAACAAAAAAAGAGCCGACGAGGGCGTAGGGGAAGTTGAAGGGCATTGCAGGAGGCATTGGAGGAGTTAGAAAGAGCGAGTGGCGCTTAATGAGGCGCTCTGAGGGAAGTGGGACTATGGTGGGGGGGAGTTGCAACACACCAAACACACGTCAGCGGACATAGCAGCAGCAGCATCCAGCCTAATCCCATGCCCTCACCTCTGCCTTCTGCTCTTCCTTCGCCTGAAGCAGCTGCCTCCTCACCTCCGCCGCCTCCACACCCGCCTTCCCCCCCGCCTCTTCTGCCCGCGCCAGGTCCCTCCGCAGCCCCGCCACCATCTCACTCAGCCGCGCGCACTCCACCCTCCCCGCGTCCCTCTCGCGCTGCGCCGCCCGCAGCTGCGACTGCAGGCTCTTGATCACCCTCACCGCCTCATCCCCTTGCACGTAGCCTACACTCCCCATACTCCGCACACTCCCCACACTCCCCACACTCCCCGTCGTGCTCACACTCCCCGTCGTGCTCACACTCCCCGTCGTGCTCACACTCCCTGCCCCTCCGAGACTTTTCTTTCCTGCCGTCATACTCAGCCTTCCCCAACCCCCTGGCGTGCCTATCTGGTACCCAGCTAGCGCACCCCCAACCGCCGGGGCTGGGGACGGGGCAGGGGCAGGGGTGGAGGCGTAGGCGGAGGCGGAGTGGGTGTGGGGGGGATCAGCCGCGTTCATGCCTTCACACTGCTGTTGAGGCACCTCAGGGGTTGTTTCAGCCGAAGCAGCTTCATCACACGAGGATCTGATGCCTTCAAATTCCTGGAACGCCTCTTTCAGCACCTGCAGCTGCTGATTCACCTGCTCGTCCTTCCACTTCTCCTCCTCCTCTTCATCCTCCTCCACCTCTTCTTCTTCTTCCGCCTCGTCCGCCCCTTCCGCCTCTGCGTCCTCTCCCCCCTTGCCCTCGCTGTCGCCTTCTTCTCTATCTTCGTCTTTCTGAAGAGGAAAACAAGCAGGAGAAAGCAGCAAAGAAGTTCACAGTTGTAACCGATGGGAATAAACGGCAGAGAATTGCCACGTCAAGGTCGTAATATTAGACACCTGCAGCTGCAACCTCCTCTCTGATTGATCGCAATAAAAAGGCCTAGCAACCCTCTTGCACAGTGCGAAAGCCTACTCCATAGAACCAACGACCGTGCTCATGCAGCTTCCTTCTACTCGCCAACGCACCTTCAAGAGTCCCCCTCTTGAACCCCGCCATCTTGCCTCTCGTCCTCTGCTCCGTTGAAGATACCTCCACGAAAATCGAACATACAACCAAACGTAGAGACCCAAATTCCATGCTCTCACCGTCAGGGAAGCGACCAGCTCTTCAAGCGCCGCCTTCTTAACCTCCGCCACCTTGGCCCTCGTCCTCTGCTCCTCCGCCTCTCGCTGCATCTCCTCCGCTGTGCCCCTCCACCGCTCCACCTCCCCTTTCAGGTTCTGCGAATGGAAGGACACAGCAACACGTCAGCACAGCAACACGCAGCACAGCAACGCGCAGCACAGCAACACGCAGCACAGCAACACTCAGCACCGCACACGAGGAAAACATGGTGTGAATAACACATGTTATCAGCACAGCAACACGGCTTGACTTTCTGCTGCACACTGTGGTGAGACTCACCTGCAGCTGCTTCTCCAGGTGCGGCAGGCGCCGCTGCTGCACCTCCAGGCGAGCCATTTCCTGCCTCGCCTCGCCTAGCTCCCTCTCTGCTGCCTCCCACTTGCGCCTCCATGCAGCGGCCTGCAGGAGAATCACGGGATGGGGATTCGGGACGAGGAGCATCACGTGCTGAGAAGTTGGATCGTGACGGGATTGGTGAACTTGGCGAGCTCGAACGGAGAGGAGCCTGTCTGATCAGCCACTTGATTTTACGATCACTATCTGTTGGTGAGCTGATTGGGCGTAGCGTAGGAATCACAGTGCAATGCAGTAACGCCGTGACCCTCGCGTCAGGCAGCCATGCTTACCTCTTGAACCGTTACATCCCTCGTACTAGCTCAAGTTACGAAACCGCCAGGTCCTGTCAAAGCTCATACCTGCTCGAGCTTGTTCTGGCACTCCTTCAGCTTCTCCTTCATCTTGTCCTCCCGCATCGCGCCATTTCGCCTCCTCCACCTGTCGCTTCAACCCTGCTGTCTCCCCCTTCAATGCCTACACCTGCTCCTTTTGAGTCGCCTCAAGAGTCTTGTTCAGAGCACATACCTGTTCCAGCTTGTTCTGGCACTCCTTCAGCTTCTCCTTCGTCTCCTCCTCGCGCCACTTCGCCTCCTCCACCTGTCGCTTCAGCCCTGTCGTCTCCCGCCTCAGCGCCTGCACCTGCTCCTGCAGCTGCTGCTCTCTCTGCAGGCGCCGCCATCCGTCTCCGTCCTTTCCTTCCGCGACTGCCAAGGCGTGCTGCGGGTTGATTGGGAAACAAAAAACGCATGCAGGGACACATTCAGGCACTTCAGTTTCCGTGTGCATCTGCTCCTGCTCCTACTGCTGCTCTGTAAGCGCCAGCCTCTGTCTCCGTCAGTCGGCGACTTTTGGATCGACTCAAAAACGAGGTGACTTTTGATTCGACTCAGAAGTCACCTCGTGGATCTGCTCCTGCACCGACTTCTGCTCTGTGAACGCCAGCCTCCGTCTCCGTCTTTCAGCATCATCACTGAGGCGAGGCAGCCTGCGAGATGCGTGGAAAACACACAAGGTCTCTTGACGCGCAAGGCATGGAAGGACCTGGCAGGTCACTTGGAACATTCTGAAGCGGAACGCTCCGAAGCGGATTTTCCTCTTGGTAAATGTGTTAATTCCGTTTCAGGTCAACATGACAAACGTAACCAGCGGCGCGTCGTCCTTCCAAGCAGCAGCAAGGGAATCGCCATGGGATTAATCGTGATAGCAAGATTCCAATGGAACTTCAGCTTGTGAGACGTGTCAAAACTCATAACATTTATAAAAATTCTAAGGAGAGCTCTGAAGCTGGAGTGTTGTGATAATCATCTTGCTTCTTCGTGCGAACGTACCTCGAGTTGCTTCCGTCGGTTGACCTCCGCGTCCCTGGCTGCCATCGCCTCCTCCAACTCCATCTCCTTCTCCTCGTACTCCTCCAGTAGTCGCTCGTGCACCGCCTGCAATAGAATGCACGAAGCACAGATAAGTTTTTTTTTTTTTTTTCTTAGCGAATCGAATGATCAGACACTCTCTAGGGGAGATGAATTATTGAATGATCCGACTGCCAACAGTCATAATTGAAAAAAATAGGCGTATAAGAAATGCCATCGACATAATGAATTCACTTAAAATAGAAGTGATTGAATTAGCGCGAAATGGTACTGATTGGAATAACGCGAAATGGATGTGGTACCTCGAGGTCTCGTTTCTCCTCGAAGATCGCCTTGGCCGCACGTTGCGCTTCATCCCGCTCCTCCATCAGCTGAAGCACCTCCTTCCTCTGCACCGCCGGCGACTGGCGCACCTTCGACCCGCCTCGCGCTCCCGTGAACGGCGTTCCGCCTCGCGTTCCCGTGAACGGCGTTCCGTAGCTCCCGTGGTGAACGGCACTGCCGGGATGGAACTTGTGGTTCGTGGTCTCACGAAGCGACGCCGCGAACGCCGAGGGTCGGTAGTGAATGTCGCTGTTCGTCTCGCGCTTGCTCAGCGGCGTGTGGATTTCCGACACGGACTGAAGGAAAGCGTTGCTGCCATAGTTGTTGTAGCTGCTGTTGCTGCTGCTGTTGTTCATGGCGTTGAAGGTGGGATCGTCTTTTTTCTCCATTTCGCATTGGTTCTCGTCGGTGGTGGATGAGGGTTCCACCATGGCTGCGTCACGTCAATTTCCCAAATGAGTTGCTTCAGAAGCACGCAGCAGTCCGCCAGTGACGGACCAAGGATAATATCTATGAAGGATGCAATCAAGGAGATCTGTTGATAACGTGTGAAGCCTCGTTTCTCAGCCTAAGATCAGATCAGTATTCCTGATAATTAAACCGTAAAATCTTTTATCAGAGTTCAACCTTTGATAACTCTACTGTAAAACTTCAGACGACAAGCTAAAAGACCTATCCACAAATAGTTCGCCGCACGAAGCCACTCACACTCACAGCAACGCTCAGCGTATTCCTGCACTAGCCTCACGTGAATTACATGCTTAGCTCAGAAATCAGGATACTACTGCATCATGAATCCTTGAACACCAAGCTCAGAAATCAGATACTACTCCAGGGAAACCACAACAGAGCCCAGTTCTGACAACCCACCTCAGTATTCAAGAAACCACCTCAATGTCAGCATTCAGCATTCAGCATTCTGCTTTCAGCTCAGCATTCCCCATTCACTAGCAGATCAACGTTCAGGAGGATATCCGAGCCAGACAGCTGCGGTTCAAATCTGGCGGGTGCTCGGTTCGGAAGAGAAAAACACGTGGTTCTAACTGGGCACCGAAGCTACCAAGCTGGTTTGAAGATCCAGCGATTCGATCTGAGCTTGTCAGGCCGCCAGTGAGTTTGAATTCTCCCGCCAACCTTGAAATGGAGTGCACTCATCTTGCTCCTTGACATCACCCAAGCTCCGTTAAGGAGTGCTGAAAGGTTTTGTACAGACTGCATAGGTATATATAAAGCTGATAATCTATGGTAATCTACACCCCAAAACAAATATCACTCATTGACATCACATATTCAATTATGGTCTCATCACATATCATCGTTGCAGATCACAAGTGTACTACTGTGTCCTTTCGGATATCACTCTACTTGGAGGGATGAATGAAGTAGAGTGGGGTGTATTATACATACACGCACACGTACAGGCTAAATTTACATGCTATGGGTCCACCTACATAGGGTAGAACCCTCAATAGTGCTTCCCTCTCCTGGACGGCCAGAGCTCAGGCTGCGCGACAGCACCATCCCCTCCTACTAGGGCTATGAGCAAGAATGTTTCTAGGCTGGATTGATGGTGGGCCAATCCTTCTTATAGGTGTTTGGTGAAGGGGGCTAACCCAACAGCAGTTACTCCTTGCTTCCATCCAAACTGTACGCATTCTGCTATATCTTGCTTTAACTCCGATGAACACAGGGAACTGCAGGATCCACAAGGGCGCGAGCTGATTCGCGCTGGATGTGAACGGATCCACGCCGAGATCCCAACACAATGAGACTGGCTACCTCTAGACGCGCCTGAGAGAACATATTTTCCTCGTTATAGTCCTCGTCGTCGTTGTCAAAGGGCATGACTTCAAACCGCCGCCTGACAATGAATTCATCAGAGTTGTCCTCGTGACCTCAGATTCAGAATCATACTCAATAGAAGTAGCCTTGGTAGGAGTGGCTCCGGAATCCTCGCCGGCTTGACTTGAAGGCTTTGTTGGAGGCAATTTTCGGCTTCAAAGCATAGACATTTTCCCCAGCAGCAATGGGTACAACAAGGGGTCGCATCATCCTGTCTTGTGGCTTAACAGAGGAAGTCTTCAACAAGTCAGTCTTGTACACGGCCGTGTCTTCGCCATGTTGACTTGGCGAATAACGAGAGTGAATGCTACCTGAGGGGTGCATGGGTGAGGAAACCAGCGGAGGACCCGCTGCAGACGGGAGCGACGAGTTGAAACCCGCTGATCCTGCTGCTGAAGCAGCGAGTGAGGAAGCCCGGGGGGAAGCAAGGGGGGAAGCGAAGGGGGAGGCGAGCAGGGAAGCGAAAGGGGACGCGAGCGGGGACAGTGCAGCAGGCGATGACGTGGCAGCCCCGTATGCCACGGAATCGGTTGAGCAAGACTTGGGGAAGCGTGAGCGCGCGGTGCTGCCAAGGGATGAAGGTTTCACCGTGAAGGACAAGTGAGCCATAGGCTTTTCTTCTCAAAGAAGCTCTTTGTCGGGCATGTCGGGCCGTAAAAAGTATAGTGCGGCGGAAAGAGTATGGCTGCTCAGGTGGTTTGCTGCGGCTCGGACTTCAAGTCAAGGCTCAGACTTCGAGTTGCGAGAGGCTTGGGTTGCAGAAGCTGCAGAATAGAAAAAAACGTGTGTTGTGAAAATGCATCGAATGGTACACATCTCAGAATACTGAACGAGAATGGATGCATTGAGAACAAGCTGAGTACAATTACTAACCCTATTTGGATTGTACCCCTTATGGGCTACCCCACTACACCCAACAAAACATAAACATTATCATGTTTTGACACACCCCCATAGGCAAAGTGGGGGAGAACAAGTGGTCACAAAACCAGTCAAGAAAAGCAAAGCAAGCTCAAGGTGGATCACGAAGTCACCACACAGTCCGAGCACAAGCAAATGGCCACAACGCAAGTTCACATGCAGAGTTATATAAAAGAGAACAAACAGTACAGTGATCACAACCTAGCAAGTGTAAGCATGCAAGTATATGTACATAATATAGATCACAGTACAAGCAAAGTCACGCAGTGAGCAAGTGAGACAAAGCAGGCACAAGGCCTAGAGCAGTGCAGAAACGCTGATGATCACCAGGCTGAAGTGCCTTGGTGAATATATCAGCAGTGTTGGCCCGTGTGGCCATGTACGCAAAACGAAGCTGACCACACTGCTGCAACTCTCGAGCCAGGAAGTAACGCAGAGCAATGTGCTTCATTTTGTGTTCCAGTCTGTGCTCCTGACACAAGGCGATAGCGGCCTTGTTGTCTACGTACAGAACTGGAGGAGAACTAGGCCGCTCTCCCAAGTCGGTCAGCAAGTAGGTGAGCCAGCGTAACTCCTGTGCAGCCATGGCTCCTGCGTAGATCTCATCCTCACAACTGGAGCTGAGAACAAAAGACGAGCGAGTAGACCGCCAAGAAACAGAGCCGGAGCCAAAGCTGAAAGTGTAACCATATGACAACTGCTGCGTAGCCAGGTCGTCAACCCAAGACGCGTCTGAGTGTCCAGTGAGGACAACTGAACCTCGTCCTCCAAGCACCAGCCCCATGCCCGATGTACTGCACAAGTAGCACAACACCCTCTTAGCAGCCTCCCAATGCTCTGGTCGGTGTCTCCTGGGCGGAACGTAGCGTGCTAGGATATAAAGAGGGTACGCAAGGTCAGGTCGAGTGCAGGTCATCAGGTACATGAGGCAGCCCACAAGCTCTGGATATGGGCCACTCGGCTCTACAGACTCGTCCAAAGGTGGAGCTGAGAGCGAGTGACCGGTAGGCAGAGGAGTGGACTATGGTGAGGAGAACCGGAAGCCGAAGCGCTGAAGGACCTGCTGCACCATGTGTGAATGAGTTAGGGTGATGGTGCGGCGTGCTCTGTCCCGGGTGATCTGCAAGCCAAGATAGCTGCGCAGCTCACCCAGGTCTGTGCAAGTGTGTCTCTTCTGCAGCTCCGACTTCACAAGGGCCAGTGCCTCAGTGTCAGCAGTGGCAAAGACCAAGTCTTCGACGTACAGGAGGCTGTAGAACGGCTGCAGCTAAGTGTCGGTGCGCAGAAACAGCGACGGGTCAGCAATCGAAGGAGCAAACCCAAGAGCCGCAAGTGTCGTCCTCAGTGTGTCGTGCCACTCACGAGGCGCCTGGCGGAGACCGTAGACTGGCCGTCGGAGGCTCCACTGGGTACCCTCAGGAAACGACCCAGTGAAGCCAGGAGGACGGCGCAGCCAGATCTCCTCGTGCAGGCTGCCCTGTAGGAAAGCTGTGCTGGAGTCAAGAGAGTGAAGCTCGTAGTCACGCTGAGCGGCAACGTGCAGCAACACCCGAAGAGTGGTCATCTTTGGGGTAGGGGAGAAGGTCTGGAAGAAGTCAGCTCCTTGTCGCTGACTTAAGCGTCGAGCAACGTAACGCACCTTGAAGACAGGCGGAGAACCCGGCGGCCGCTTCACCCTGAAAATTCACATGCCATCGACTATGTTCGCCCCAGGAGGGGAACTGTGTCGACGTAGGTGCCTGTGGACTTCTAGGATGCCATCTCTGCGTCCATGGCTGTCTGCCACTGAGAGGAGTAGGGACCCGTAATCGCCTCTGCGTAAGAGCGTGGAGTCGGTTTGTCCAGTGCATCGGGGTCTCCCTCAGGTACAAGCAGCCAGGCTACGAGATCAGTTACAGCAGCTGCAAGACACTCAAAGTCCTCCTGCCTATCTTTAAGGACGTCCGTGCCAAGAGCACACTCACCCCTGACGGACGGAGGACAGATAGACTCAGACTCAGCAACAAGACTAGCGACGTAGTCTAGACGACACGCAGCAGCAAAGGCAACAAGATCAGCATAAGGCAGACGTAGCAGTGGTCTCAAAAGAAGGGTCAGTGACAAGAGTGGCTAGGAAACGTGTGATAGTAGGGCTTGCAGCACGACCCAAGTCAGACTCAGGGTCAGGAACGGTAGGAAGAGAGGACGTTTGAGGAGACGGCAGGGCAAAATGCTGTGGAACAGAGGAAGGACGAAGTGTCTTTGTGTGCATGCCGGGGACAGGTGGAGCACTGAGTCAGGTGGCAGCAGGGACGAATGCGGCGGCGGTAAGAAAAACGGCCGTTGCGGCGCAGCACCCACAGGACCAGAGCCGTCAGCTCTAGTATCGCCAGAACCTCCAGCACCTCCAACATCAGCAGCTCCTCTAGCTCCAGTACCTCCAGCACTAGCTGCCCCGGTACCTCCAATACCAGGAGCCCCAGGACCTCCAGTACCTCCAGCTCCAGTACCTCCAGCTCTAGTAACTCTAGCTCCAGGACCTCTAGTTCTAGCATCTTCAGTATCTCCAGTACCTCCAGCTCCAGTACCTCCAGCAGCTCCAGTACCTCCAGCACCTCCAGCTCCAGCGCCTCCAGCTCCAGCACCT